TACAATGAAACTCATTTGTCGTAAACTACAAGTAAATTTACGACGAAGGTACTAGGAAAAGAAAGATTTATTGTAAAGAAGAAGTAAAATTACAAGTACATTACGAGTTGAGTTTAACCGTTTATAGAAACATTGACTACAGAAGAAGTCGACCAGATTTTTGAAGAGGTAAAATTTTTGAATAAATTTTAATTTGTTTATATTAATTCTATTTTATTAATTAATATTTCAATATTAATTATAACCTTTTTTTGAAACAAGGTGGCTCCTAGAAAGAAGGGACGGATGGTGGGAATAGGCTCTGTTAACGAAGTTCCAAGGGCAACTTCTTCGTACACTTCGCGACGGAATGATGAAACTTCTCAGATGCGGTCTCAGATGCGGTCCCAGCAGGAGCGTTTGGATTCACTTGAGGATTTGTTGGACATCATGGCCACCGATAACCCGCTTATGCAGAGAGCGCTAAATGAAAGACGAGCGGCTCTCGGAATGCAGCAACATCCTCCCGAGTTAACCGTTCGCCCCGGCCCGGAACTCAGCCGCCTCGACGAGTACCTCCGCACCAACATGCCGTTTTTTTATTTTGTTTGGTTTTGTATTATAAATTTATATATTATTTTATGACTTTTTTAATATAATGTTTTTAAACATTTTTAATTTTAAAAATTTTGGTTTTATATTTTAAATTACGAAATTTATAAATAAAAATATGCAAATTTTTTAAAAAATTATATATACACACCCAAGTAATTTCGTTGTAAACTTTACAACTACTTAAAATCGAATTACAAGTAAGTTCGTTGTAATATTTACAACGACTTTACATGTTCTACTAGTGATCTACTCGTACATTTATATGGACTTATCATCGAACATTTACGTGGCAATTACGTCGAAAGGAACGAGGACATTACGTGACAGGTTAACGTCGAGGTTACGACAAAGTATTCTACTTCTCTTTTACAACGACAAGTGTTCCTCGTAACGGTACGTGAACTTTACGACGAAAAGTGCATTACGACGAGCGATTAACAACAAAACGGGTTTCCTAGTTAATTCGTCGTAATAGGACCTTTACGACGAATTAACCACGAATATAACCCTAGTAAAAAAATTATTTTCTTGTAGTGCAAAAATCAATAAATTACCTTAGAATTATATTTAATATCATAACTAACTTGCCCAAAAATTTGGAAAAAAAGAAAGATATCAAAATATTTATGGGAACATTGTTCCTTCAGACTAATTTCAACTACTAATTGTCTCGTTAGGTTAATTATTTTCAAAATGCCAATAATATCCTTAAAATTTCATCTATAAGTTTGAAATTATAATTATAAAATAATTATAAGATATTTTGATGTATAATAAAATTAAAATTATAAAAAATATAATATATTTACATTTATAAAATGAATATAAATTTTTTGATAGTATAAATTTGAAATTAGAGTCATTCAAAAGTTTGTATCAAAGTAATTATGATATATTTTTGCTAGTATAATATAAACTTATTTATGATTCGAAATTAAAATTGTACGTTATTGTGTACAAATATGATTTTTTAAAATATGGAAGCATTATATTTCTAAATATATTCTTTCCATATTTTTGGAATTGTTCATACTTATCCGTAGAATTTGCATTCTACTATATGATGACATATTAAATTTTATGGGAAAGGAATATGTCATAAATTAATATTAGACCAATATGTTATAATAAGATAGGACCCAAGCATGATATATATTGTTTCCAATATCTATCGAGTAAGTATTTGATGCAGAGTAAAAAAAATATTCCTAAAGAATATATTAACCAAACTACCGGGATGTTTTATAGTTACATATTAGTATATACTATGTTAACTAGGATAAGACCTGCGCCTTGCGCAGGGTAAATATATGTAATTAAAATATAAAATTTTAATATTGACAAATTTAAAATTTACATATGATTGTTTTTATATGTATTTGAAATTTTAGAATTTTGGAATTTTGATATAATTATATATATGTATGATCATAAACAATTCTAGTTAGAAGTGTAGATCAAAACCTAGAATTTAATGGGGACTTCATATATCTTTTCACTTTTCAGTGTTCGAGTGATGGAAAATAAACGGAGTGTCACTGGGCTTGATTGGTAGAGTATTAGCAAGTTATCTAATGATTTCTTAAGAAGCAGTTGGTAAAATATTTGCATTTAAAATATATAAGTTTCAAAACTAATTTAATAAATTTATTTATTTGTATATTTTTTAAAAACAATATTTTGAGTTTTTCAAATACAAATAAAAAATTTAAAATTAGTTATCGTCATGATTTAGCATAACCATATGATTTAAAAAATTTAAAAATTCACAAATTAAACATTAACTCAGTTTTATATCATGATTTAACAATCTAAAAACTAATTATGGTTATGAGAAGTTTACGTTCACGTGTCAATCCTATTTATCTTCAATTTTTTCTCTTGTTGTGTTTTTTTTATTTTGGTTATTACTCGATATAAATACTTATTTTGAAGTTTATTCTTATTTTGTTTGTTTGTTTTGACCTCGGATTTAGAAAATACTTAAGATTTAAAATAATTAAAGAGATACATACTTAGGTTAAGATCTGCACTTTATGCAAAATAAATATTTTATAGTTATTTTATATTTTTCTGCATATTATAAAATAATAAAATAATAAATATATATATTAAATAACTAAGAAATCAGTTACTATTATGTAATAAATTGGCGTATGCATATAAATTTAACTATAACTCTTGTTTATTCGCAATTAGGGTAAATAAATCAAAATAATCAATCTTATATATTGTATATGATATATAATTAAGTTAAAATGATATAAACATATTAATATAGCACACTTTTAATAGTGATATTTATTAAATGAGGTTTCTACTCATATTATTTTATGATTATTTGCATATTTGTGTAACAAAACTTTACACCAACGATTTTTTTTAATTTGAGATGTTTAATAGTTTCAATAATTTATAATCATTATAAAAAAAAATTGACATATTTAAAAATTAAAATATTAAATTTTCAATATATGTTCAATGCAAATATCAAAATATAAGTATGTATTTTCATACGATGAATAGTTTAATTAAAACTATATGAAGTATATATAAATTAAAATTATTTCTTCATATGGTCATCATTATATTTTAATATAGAAAAAAAATTTAAACCTTGATCCTAAAATTTTATGTGAGACTTTTAACAGTTTTAGTAATTTATACTCATTTTAAAAAAATTCGAACTACAACATACACAAAAAAAAAATCTAGATTTTTATTATATGATTAATGTAATTGTGTAATTTATTTTAATAATAAAGAAATAAACAAAATGAGAAAAAGTATACATATTGTTATCAAATCTTTATTGTTTAAAATCATTAATTGTCATATATATATTTTAATCATATTAGGTAATTCCGTAGGTTTTATTTAAGGAAAGCATGCGAAACAATAAATATTTGATATATGCGACCAACTATAGCCTAGGAAATATTATATTGCTAGAGAGTATAAATTTTAGACTATACATTATATCACATGCTCTAGAATCCTTGGAATTTGAAATAGAAGCCAAAGAGCTATGCCACATAGGATTGTGGTTATTTTTAATTATTACAAACTTAAGGTTACAACTTTTTAAATGATTCTCAAATAATATATAGGGGATGCGCTGGATGAGAATTATATATATAAATTATTTTATCTCTCATTCTTTATTTTGTGTGTTTTATATATTATAAAATAAAAATTATATATATATATAATTGAATAATTGAAAATTATGTAACTATTATATATATAATTAATTTATCGAGCACTTAATAAAATAATCATATTTGTTTATTTACAATCACATTTATATAAGTAAATATAATTGATAAATGATACTAACATATATATATATATATATATGTTATACTTTTAATTTGTATATCCAATAAATGAAGTTTCACACTTACATGAGTTTTTGATCATTTGTATATTTTTATCCTATATTTTAAAGAAATAAATATTTAATTAATAAATATTTTATAAAATATTTTATGGTTATTATCTAATACTCCATCTGTAATATAAAGTCATTTTGACATTTTTTTTACTATACAGAGTGTCAATATAAAAATTTAATACAGTTTATACTTACTTTAGGCTTAACATTTAATTGCAAAATACATTGATCTTATAAGTAATTTTTTTCACCTTAAATACTATTGATTAAATAAGTGTAATTAATAAAACATAAAGCATTCTAATTATTTTCTTAATTTGTGTTAAAATGTCAAAGTGACACTTTTTTTGAAATGGAAAGAAAATATAGGTTAAACCAATTATTATTAATTGATACCCATAAAAATTAATATCAAATCGCCCATTGATGGTAGCCCGGTTATACAAACATCAAATCCGTTATTTGTTCTATAGAAAATGATTATCACGGGTGGATGCACCGTGGCCTAGTGGTCAAGGGATTAAGTATTCTACACCCAGGTTTGGGGTTCGAACCCTAAACTATACAATTTCTAGGTTTCAATTCATGGAGAAATACAATTATGCAGAAAAGAATGATGCAGTCAAATGTAAATCCGCATAAGGCAGATTATCGTCTTTGTAATGTTTCTTATAATTTGTAATAGCATAATTACCCATACAAAAAAAAAAGATAATGATTATCACTAGTGTTACTCTTCGTTGATTCTGTACCCTGCAACTGCAATATAATCTCAACATCAGTTCATTTTTGTAGTACACGCAACACATATTTAAAATTATGGATAAAAATAGTTTCGGACCCAATTTTACGTACCTATACATACATCATATATCTATCGGCATGACTTGAATTACATGGTTGACTCAAATACTTAACACTCATTCTTTTGACGAAATCAACGTTCCTTAACGTACAGTATAATGAAAGTTTGCCTTATTTAAATTAAGCTTCAATGATCTGCAACAAGTATCTGAGCAAAGACAGTCTCCTAAAATGTATATGAAAAATTTCTTGTCAATCCTATGTTTTTTCCTCGACTTTAGCTTCGGCTTTGTCTCTGGCCAAATATGTGAGAACTCGCTGTTTTTCAGACCAAATGGCACTTACGATACAAACCGTCGTCTCGTCCTCTCAAATTTTGCTTCCAACGTCAGCTCTCGAGAAGGCTACTATAACGTTTCTGTCGGTGAAGGCCCCGGAAGGATCTATGCTTTAGGCCTCTGTCTCCCAGGGATTGCTCCAAAGTTCTGTTCCGAATGTATTCAACTTGCATCTGTTGGTTTATTACAAAGCTGTCCAAACCAGACCAACTCATGGTTCTGGAGATCCGAAGACGAGCCTGATACTATCTGTTTTGTTCGCTACTCAAACCGCTCGTTTTTTAACCAGATCGATCTACAGCCAAGAGAAGAATTTATTTATCATGTAGACGTAACTGGAGACGTTGTGGAGTATCAGAGAACATGGGAAGGTTTCATGGTGCGTATGATATTAGCAGCTTCGTCCTCAAGTCCAAGGTCGCTTGCAGGCCGACATTATGCAGCGAATATAACTTCTTTGCCCAGTTTCCAAAAAATATATGCACTAATGCAATGTATCCCGGGGATTTCTTTAGTGGATTGTGATGCTTGTCTGCGCAAAAGTGTTGGTTACTTCCAAAGGTGTTGCATTGGGAAACAAGGAGGAAGCATCAGGAGACCGGTTTGCTTTTTCCGGTTTGATCTTTATCCGTTTCGCAATGCTTTCCATAACATAATATGGTCCCCTCCTCCTCAAAGTTCTCAAGATCGTGGAGAATTAGAACCCACAACATCACATCTTCCTCCTCCAGTTAGCAAAACCATTTCGAAAGGGGTTATAATGGCAATAATTGTATCCACCGTGATATTCATCGTCCTGTTAGCTTTAGGATTGATTGTTTTGAAGAGAAGGCAATCATACAAAAAACTAAATCTTGAAAGTGAGCTGCTTTTACCTTTGCATTTTAAAACAGAGTATATATATATATATATATATATATATATATATATATATATATATATATATATATATATTCTCATAACACCATACATTTGTTGTTGCAGCTAATGATGATATAACAAGTCCGCAGCCATTGCAAATTGATTTAAAAACAATTGAAGCCGCAACTGACAATTTTTCGGGGAACAATAAAGTCGGCCAGGGTGGATTTGGTGAAGTTTTCAAGGTATATTTAAGGTTTTTATATATCTATGACTGCCCCCATTTTTAAAGGAAGCTAACAAGCGGTAGATATGTATATTTGTAGGGAACATTACCAAACGGAACTGAAGTTGCGGTGAAGCGACTATCGTTAAATTCAGGACAAGGCACACAAGAGTTCAAGAATGAAGTTATTCTGGTGGCAAAGCTTCACCACAGAAATCTCGTTAGGCTTCTTGGGTTTTGCGTCGAAGGCGATGAACAAATACTTGTCTATGAGTTTGTCCCCAACAAGAGTCTTGACTATTTCCTCTTCGGTTAGTTTCTAATATTTTTCTTGGCATTTTTATTATCATTTTTGAACTCTAGATACGTTGCTAATATTGTACCGCACAGATCCAATAAAGAAACGATATCTGGATTGGGAAAGAAGGTACAATATTATTGAAGGGATCTCCCGAGGGATTCTCTATCTTCATCAAGATTCAAGGCTCACAATCATACACCGTGATCTCAAAGCTAGCAATATTCTTTTAGACGATGATATGAACCCAAGAATAGCGGATTTTGGCATGGCAAGGATTTTCGGGATGGAGCAAACTCGAGCCAATACTAACAAGATAGCAGGAACCTTGTAAGTGATTTTTACTCCTACAAACTGTAAATGTGAGAGTTATCTACTACACAAATTAGAGCACACAATAACACCAGAAAAATTTCTTTCTAGAAGTACGACTAGCTTAATCTATTTAAATACACTTACAAGTTTCACTTAAAAAAAATTGTTCACCAAGCTCAAGACAAATCTTGGCTGGCTGATCTAGTCACTTGTGTTCAAAGACCTGTACTAAGTCTCTTTTATTTCTCACGTTCCTAACCTTTAGTTTTTTGCTGCACCATACACGGACTCTTCAAAAGTCTCTCGGCTAAAAACTCTGTGGGTGTGTTAAACAACACACTCGATGCTCGCACGCCTCTCTATACTTAGAGGAAAACTTAGACCTAAAGATCTACAAACTAGAACTTTTGTGATCTTCAATGAATAATCCAATCTCCCTTATTGTGTAAGGTCTTTTATTTCTTCTCCAATACTTCCCTTAAAATACTCCAAGGTAAAATTTACTTTTAATGTTTTCATCTTGAAGAACACTCCAACCAGTTCCACGTCACACCCTTCTTATGTGCAGTAGTTCATACCACACTTCATGAACTACTTCAGCTTTACACTGATCATACACTCCCTTTTTAGTTCATGCGTCACACAAGTACTTGAGATGAAGAAAGCCAATCCAACCACAAAAACTATATGCAAACATGTAAATATTTAGAGAATCATTGGAAAAAAGTAGTTAGATTATTCTAAAGGATTCAGTTTTTAATAAATTTTAATCAAAAGACAGCAGACATAAATACCCCCTCAAAAATTGAGATTATATGAAACAAAGGATAACATAAGGTTGCAGCAAAAGGAGATATCTCACAAGTAAAAAATAACAAAAATAAGAAACAAAGATTTTCGCCCACATAAGTAAGCTTCATCTCAATCTTCCTCCTCTCTCCTTGTTTGTGCAAACACGAGTTAAAAACACAAGTACCAGTATACGATAAATCAGGAAAATGAACAAAAGTACTAACATCCAGCTGAATGAATGAGATCTTGAACTATATCAGTGAGAGTTTGGAGAGCTTTTCCGTTTTTGAAGGGTGTCCAGAAGTTCTTTATGAGTCATTAAATCCTTGCGGCACTTGAATGGATCCGAGCTCATAACCAAATCGTTTGTCCTTCTTGTGTTGGATATCTCAAACTTGTTTCTCTTCTTCCCGGGGATGTGGTTGATACATCGTTATCCTATTGAGCTTTAGTTTTCTTATTTCCTTTTCGAATTGTTTTTGCATTTTTTCTAGATAAGTTTAGTTTCCTTTTTATGTTTGGCTTTAGGAATTCATGTCCCTATATATTGTGATCTCTTGATTTGTAGGAGACATAACTTTTGATTATTGATTTATAAAACTTAGAGCTTTGGTGTTACAAACTCTTGAATCTTTACCTCTGGGCATTCTTTGAGAATTCAACAGATTTAAAATGGCTAAAACTAATGGGTATTCTCAGAATTCAAGGTTACCTTTGTATTATTGGTTACTAAACGGTACTTCCGCTCCGTAAATTGGTATCAGAGACTTAGAACTTCGTTCCCCATCTCTGTTTCGATCTTTTGATGGCCCCTCGACCAGGAAAACAACCAGCCAGTGATTGGACACACTTTCAACAATTCTTGGAAAACTTCTAAGAACACTTTCATGATGAACTTCACAGAACCTTAGCTGATTCAAATTAGGCAGAGTTCAAGCCGGAGTTCAGGCCGCATTGACAACAAACACCGCAAACGCTCAAGCCAGAGTTCAGGCCACATTGACAGTAAACACCGCAAACGCTCAAGCAGCGCAAGCAGTGAATGCAATACAACCATGCGCAGCACCAATACAACACTAACACCGCAACAACCCTATCTTTGACGACAAGGATGAGGACGTCAACAAGGAAAACCCTTTTGCCGTCAACATCCCACTACGTCATCAACGACATGAGCGACATAATAGGAACAACGAGGATTCAAGATTGACCTGGGGCATCAAGAATGATATCCCTGAGTACCATGGAGGATCACAACCGGATGATCTACTTGACTGGATTGTTTCCGTTGATTAATTCATAGAGTTCAAAGACGTTCCAGAACAGAAAAGGGTGCCTCTCGTTACAATTCATTTTCGTGGCACGCCGCAGCATGGTGGAGTCAACTCAAGCTTCCCAGATTGGTCGTGGGAAAGACAAGATAACTTCATGGGAAAAGCTCAAGAAACATATGAGGAAAACTTTTATCCCATACGAGCGATTATTGTTTCAGAAATTCTACATTATACGCCAAGGATCACATTCCGTTGAGGATTATGCTAAGGAGTTCTATCAGATGCTCACACGAATAGATATTCAGGACTTCGATGACCATTTAGTAGCTCGTTTTATTGTAGGTCTACGACCGCAACTCCAGAACATGCTTCAACATTCTGATTCTTGTGAAGTTAGGAGTTTTCAAGGCTCCTAAGACAAATGTTGTAGTATAAATGATTGTCGAACCAATTCTAAGGGATTTTAAAGTACTGAGAATGCAAGTTCTCACTTAATCTAAGTGCAATCAAATAAATGATGGTTGTAAAATATAACTAAGAATAAGAAAAGCCAAATCTAAAATAACTTCTTTGATTAAGAGAAAGGAGAACTCATGGGAGTAGGGATTAGACCTTGGGTGATCAAACTTCGAAATAAGGATGGTAAAGATCAATTAAACTATCAACCTTAAGCTTATACACATCTCTAAGCAAGCTCTATGTCTAGATGAATGCTCATTTACTAACATAACTCAAATATCAAATGTATTCGGTTGAATGTTACATAAGTAATCTTTAAGAACAAGTCTATTAGCCATCTTAACACCTTTAACAACAAATGTCTTTGGTAAAGTATGTTAAAAGCATAGGAGAGTTGGCTCATGCATTTCATCGAACACCTTGTGAGGTGGGAAATTCCTAAAGCTTAACCTTTGAGAGGCCAACTCAAAAGATGCATACTATACTAGCAAGGAATAAGAGAAATCTACACTAAACATCCTAGTTCTAGCGCAATCACCCTTAATCTCTCTATCCCATGAATTCAAAGGTGGATTAGTCACTAATCTTCATGATTCCTCTCAAATCCATATTGGATTCAAGTTTAATCATGTAAAGATAAGTAGATAATGCAATGAAATAAACAAGGATCACAAGAAACATAGAAATGAACGTTTCCAAGAAGTTTTTGTGTTTTCTCCTCCAGATCAAAGATCACTGCCTGGTAGGCTACAAGAAGTACTTAAACTTAGGTTTAGAAAGTGTAAAACATGAAACAAATGACCAAAAAGTCCCTGAAATAACACAAGTTTTCGTCCAAATAAAACGCTCAGCGACCTGGACACGTCGCTCCAAGACGTCGCTCTGGAGCTAGAGCGACCTAGGGTCGTCGCTCCAAGACGTCGCTCCGGGGGCTGTTTCGGCTTCCGGATTTGCTAAAAAGGCGAGCGACCTAGGTGCCTCGCTCTGGCTGGGAGCGACCTATGGACGTCGCTCCAAGACGTCGCTCCAGGACCTCCTCCTGCAACCGAGTGTCAAAAGGCCGAGTGACCATGACGTCTCGCTCTGGCTTGGGAGCAACGTCATGGGGTTGCTCTGGCACGTCGTTCCCGCCCTACTCGTCCAGTGATCACTTCAAACTCCTCTTTTGGACCTCAAATGCATCCAATCACCTCCAAGAACTCCAAGGATACTCCAATACCTAATAAGAACTCATGTATGCAAAATGCAACCTAGAAATGACTAAATCCTAGTCTATATGATCAAAATGCATATGGATGAATGGATAAAACAATGGAAATATGCAAGACATCACCTTGCTCTGTTTCGGAAGCTCGACAACATGCATTACTAGTCGAACATCAAACGCGTTTGAGTGCTACCCAATGGTCTAGAAATTCTCTTCCTCGCCCCACATTGGTCACTGACGACACTAAATCATCTACAGGACATGACTCTACGACGGCACCAACGGTACCATGTAACAACAACCACACCGGGGAATCTGTTAGGACAGAAACAAAATCACAGCCTTCACGACCGAATGCTCTCCGTTGTTTCACTTGTGGAAAGCGTGGTCATTTACAAACAGCTTGTCCACTTGAATGGAGGGTACTACTCACAAGTGATAAAGAGATCGTGGGTGATCCTATCTATGATGAGGTTGAAAATGACGACGTCGTAGAGGAAGAACAAGTAAGTGGCAACATGGGAACGTTCCTAATGCTTTGCCGGAATTTTTTAGCTCTTAAAGAAAGTGAAGATGGGCAGCGCACATCCTTATTTAGTTCTACATGCATGGTTAAAAGCAAAGTTTTCCGGTTTGTGATAGATTCAGGCTGCTCTTCAAACGTAGTTTCTGAGGAAGCAGTTCGCAAGCTTTTACTGAAAACTGAGTCTCACCCTCATCCTTATCGGCTTCTCTGGATGCAAAAAGGCGCAGAGGTCTATGTTTCCCAACGCATTCTACGATCATTGTCTATCGGATCGTTCAACAAGGACACGATTTACCTTGATATAGCTTCAATGGATGTGTCCCATACCATATTAGGCTGTCCCTGGCAGTATGATAGAGAAGTAATGCACAATATCAAACTTAATACACATGCATTCATGTTTCAAGGACGAAGGATCACACTACTTCCATCTCCTGAACCGAACCGTGTTCTTCCTCAGCAACAAAGCGCGGCACAACAAGTCTCTTAATAATCTCTAAGTCACAGTTTGAAGAGGAGTTATTGAGTCTGGTCCACTTTTTGCCCTTGTCACAGTCGATACAAAACCAGAGCAAGGCATGACCATTCCTTCCGCGTTTACACCAGTTATCAACAAGTTTCATGATCTATTTCTGGATGAGCTGCCTGCAGGACTCCCTCCTCTCAGTGATATACAACATCACATTGATCTTGTCCCTAACGCTATCTTACCAAACCACACTCATTATAGAATGAGTCCCGAAGAACATGTAGAATT